TCGTATATAAAATGATGCTATAATGCATGCAGAGATATTGTGACATATATATATGCCCTTAATTTGATAGGTCACACGATCGACATCCATCCATGCACGGGTGTATATATACATACGTACAGTACATCTTTATCCAAAATAGGACAGGGACCTCTATATATGTTAAGGTTATTAACTGATTGAAAGCACTCCGATTCTCTAGAGGGAGACGTCCCAGATGGTTTTGTGTGACAGTGCAGTTTGTAGGACGTGTGCATGTTTCACTAGATGTCTTTTCTTATCAGCTATAGAAGGGCCTTAATTAATTACTCCCTCCGTCCTTAAATATAAGGGATTTTGATTGAATGTGATGTATTATAGTACGTACAACGAATGTGGACATATACTAGGATGTGTCCCATTCAACCAGAATCCCTTATATTTAGGGACGGAGTGAGTAGTTATTGAAAAAATGGAACTAATTAATTAAACATTAAGTTGAAGATTATGTTGCAGTGAAATGATGTTGTTCTCCATTGAGCGATCTGTTTTTTTTAAGCAGGACCTTAATTACTGAAATAATTGAAATTACAATACTTCATTCAAATTTCAGTAGTAGACTAGTATTAATTACAGTGGAGTTAATGTTGCTGTTCACACCATTGAGATCGGTGAGTACTGTGACTAGTGAGTTGTGACATGTCATTATCCTATGAGAGATCATATCACGGTGAGATCAAAAGCCTAAAAGACAAAAGTGCACAGCGATGTATCGATGCTGCACTATTGGATCCTTTCCACGATCGATGATGATCTGATTCCTCTCATCTCTCTCTCTCTCTCTTCGTGTGTTGCCCTAATCCAATCGTTCGATCGACAAGACTGGACATGATGCATCTCAATTCTGAACCATCGAGGAACCATTAGGGGCCACTAGTGATAGTTACAGACAAGGGCATGCAGCTTGCAGCACATGTGTATCCCATTAATTATATCTCTGTGTTCTTCATCTCTCTTTTTTTTAAAAAAAAAATTCCATCTTAATTTCATGTTGCCTCCTTAATTTGCAGTACTGTTTATTTGATATGATCCCTAATCTCTTGATACTGTTTTCATCTCGTGCCATGTGCTGCTTGCTTGCTGATCCATGTGTGCTGATAAATCTGTTTTGGAACAGTCCTCTCCAGTCAAATGTCTACAGTGTTCTAGGTTTGGTGATGTTCTGATGAAACTCTTAGTCAAATTAAACTAGATTATGAAGCTAAATTACCCAAGTCCATGATTGCAGATACAATGCCTTCTTAAAGGGGAAACATGTCATCAAACCATGCTTTATCAGAAAGCACACCAAGTATACATGCATTGAGATACAAATATAACACTTTCGACTATATATACTTTCTTGCTAGCCACTCCCTCCGTCCCTAAATACTTGACGTTGTTGACTTTTTTAAACATGTTTGGCCATTTGTCTTATTCAAAAAATTTAAGTAATTATTAATTCTTTTCCTATCATTTGATTCATTGTTAAATATACTTTTATGTATACATATAGTTTTACATATTTCACAAAAGTTTTTAAATAAGACGAACGGTCAAATATGTTTAAAAAAGTCAACGGCGTCAAATATTTAGGGACGGAGGGAGTACTATATGAGAAGAACATGTGCCATCAGAACGTGACGTCTCTATGATAAACAGTTTAGATTAATTGTACTACTAGTAAAGATCATTATAAAATACTACCGTTTATTTCAACACTGTAAAAACTATTTTTGACAAAGGAATATAATTGAGGCTAGTAGGATAGGTATCATCGTTAATTCACATCATCATCTGATCTCAATTGACCGACGGTGATCTCTACAGGCATGATAACAAATACACTCAATAAAACAATAACAACGACTCTACCATGCATGCATACTTATAAACTAAACTTTTATATAATGAAAAAAAAATCTCTGATCTCTATATCCACAAATAAATATACACAATCAATCAACGTATGAACTAAATTAAAAGCAGAATACAGCACATATCTCCTATTATCACAATATCTGTAATGGAGCTGGAGATTCTCTGGTGCCGGCAAATTGGAAGTGCAAATTGGGACGTGAAAGTGGGGCTGTCGATCAATGACGCCATGCAGTGCGTCATCTCCCCTCCTTGAGATACACTCTCTTGCATTCGTGGCAGTTGGAGGTAATTAGTTGCCTAGGATGTGGTTAGTTAGTTATCAGCTAAGAGATTAATTAGCAGCTAGCTAGCTAGCATAGCTAATGAGAAAAGTTGCTTCTACTACTTGCAAAACCAGCCTTTAATTTCGAGGTGATTTGATCATATCCCACCATGCATTATATGCAAGCATAAGCTAGCACAGGTGCCTGCATGAACAGAAATAAGCTAGCTTGTCCATCAAAAGGCTTGGAGAAGGACAAGTCATGTCTTCTTAATTACATTCATGTAGGACATGGAGTTAGTGAGTTACTATAGCTAGCTAGGGCTCTGTATACATGCTACCTTGTTGTTTCTAGGGGCATACTGTTAAAAATTTTGGGGGTAGCTAGGAGTGACATTGATTAGTTCTTGTTGATGCATGAATATTAATTGCTGGGCCAGCCAGATGGTGATGGATATGTATATATGAGTACAAATCAAATGATGCATTATAATGGGCTAAAGGAAAGAAACAAAAGGAAAAGAGATGTGGATCAATGCAACTAATTAATTAATGTTTAGAGCATTAAGCAACTGGCTTAGCTTAGCTAGTGCTGGTCCAACTGTTCTTTGATTTACAGAGAGAGTGCATGCGTATTCCTACTGATAGCTAGCCATTTGGTGGATTTCATAGACACCAAATATTCTCCTTAATTTCTCAGGTCTTCTTACATATATTTGTCCTCTAAATAGTCCTCAATGCCCTATTTCATCCTCTAGGAGTCCTATATCTGTGCTCTCTACTAGAAAAAGTATGTACAGTAGCTTGCTTTCTCCTGTTCAAAAAAATACACACTTTTAATTAATTTGGAGTTTTTCATTAGGATTGAGGAAAGGGTGAAATTAAATAGGTGATAGATGTAATTGGTTTAGATGAGAAAGTTGTGAAATTAAATAAGATATGGTTGTAATTGGTTGAGATAAGTGAGTATAACTAAACGGAGAAATTTGCTATATTATGAAATAAATTTTAAACGTTAAAGTTACTATGTTTTAGAACGGATAAAGTGTGTGTGGGATCATCTCTTATCATATAACAAGTTACGCACTTGATTGATGTCTAGGATGACTGATCAAATAGCCTTCATAGTCTAAATTGAATAAGGTAAATCACGATAGTACAAGACAAAATCTTCTTTTAAAGATAGATGTGGGGGTTAATGATAATCAAGAGCCTTTAGATGGAGCTACCCTTCTGGCTAGGACACTAGGTCTCTCTCTCAGTGTATAGCCAATGCGAGAACAGCAATATTCTTGACAATATTGGAGTAGCCGGTGACAGCGATAGAGCAACCACCGATTGGGCGATGGATTGAGCTTTTAGATTCGGAACAGTTCAGCTTGACCCTCGGAGCAAGGCAAGGCAGGAATTTGGACACCATATGTCATATATGATATGATGACACGTCTCTCTGCCCCCCAAGTTCATTGCACTATCATGTGAGCTACTGTTAGCCATTTAATTTAATTGTACGATCCAAATGGTAGTCATCTATCGATATAAGGATAAAAAAACAAACAGTTTTTTTTTTCTGAGAATCACGCATAACGTACCTATATGGTGCAATGTCTGAAGAAGAATCACATGATGCAGGGTGAGGCGTGTGATTATATATCATGCGAACCACAGATAAATCACCATCGATCTCTTATTTTCCTTTATGTTTCTAATCAATGGCAGCCAAAAATAGAAAAAAAAAAGTACGATAAAAAGTAGAAAAAAGTATTTATTGGAGAGACAATAGTGAAGCTAGCGGAAACCATGGGGTTTGAGCTCAATGAAAAATATTTCCTTATTAGTTGTCCGTAGTTTTTTAAAAGAAAACTTCATAGTCAACAATGTCGACACTAGTGCTTTAGTTCTACGGCCGCTCTCGACCAACTAGAGAGTAGGCTCCGCCACTATGGATGATAGTACGAAATTTCTTAAAATTTCTTTTGCTAAAGCTACATTGAGATACTAGGTATTGTAGGATCTCTATGTCAGTGACCGTTGATATTGAGTTCTGTATATAATTATTACCTATATATCCCCATGTTGACACAGAGCACACAGGCATGCTAAACGTTTTCTAAGGCAACCACACTTACTCACTAGCTAGCCATACCATAGGGTTGGGATAACCTAGCTTGGCAATTGGCACCTAGTATTTCCTCAACTTAGTTGATAAGGACAATTTGCATATAGACGGCAATGCATGGTGGCAAGGAGAAGACTCGATCGCCAGAGTTTATATAATCTTTTGTTTGGACATGCTGATCGAGTCCTCAGTCAATTCTTCACTACCAAGTGTAGAAATAGATGCAGTGTTTGTAGTGTGTGAAAAATCAACGAGACTTGTCAGTAACCAATCAGGCATTTTCTACGTGGAAACGAAACCTAAGCTATTCAAAGAATCAGAGGCGTCTCCAAAGCCGTATGGACTCAAGTTGCAGGTTAACTTACCTTGCAAGTTGCAAGGATGCAAAGATTAAGGAACAAAGACTAGAAAACGACTGTCTATTACGTCAGATAACTGCATCTCATAATCAAGCATCTGTCAAGTTGTTTCCATGTTAGTGTGAAGCTACTGTCAATAACGACTGGCTACACCGTCATCGTATATATCCAAATCAATCTCTGGACTGAACTGTTTTGGGCTAACATAACGACAGCTGCCTTCACATTCAGCTCCAGCTAGCCCAAAATGTGAACTATTACAGTTAATAATTCAAACAAAGAAACAGTATCATTTATCGGATCACACAATGAAAACCCAATGTAATGGTCCATGCGTCGTATCAGAAGCAGGCAAAAAGAATCATCAGTCAAAGGTTCTTGATTGCTATCTTGTCAAGATGCATGGATTGAGTTCTTCAACTGAAGAATGGACAGTCAGATATACGGTACGCCTATACAATTGGAACATTCGATATTTTTACAAACCTCAGCCAAGAGAGCTAGGAACGACTAGAATACATTGAGGAGAGAAAAAGAATTAAAGAATGATACGATACATCAAACTATCAGAGATCACTGTAAGAACGTAGTTCTTGGTATGCATTAGAGGACTAATTTACACAGCTTCTGATATACATCTGTACATAGTTTTGGTTGGATAATCAACAACTGCATCCTCAATCCAACTTTACGCTGTTGAAATCCATCTGCAAAATTTTTGCGTGCCAGGCAGCTTCGCCATGGGCAAAATGCCAGAGTAAAAGAAGAAACAAGCAAAGGCCATTTGTGCAGTACCAGGTTTTTGAAGGATCAAGACGTCTTTTCAGTCAAAGTTGGTAAGTGAATGACGCTTGCTCCTTACGACCTTTCTCATGTATGTCCTCTATTAGCTGACGAAGCTCTGGGAAGAGCGACACAAGCACCTGCTCTATCATTGCATAAGCAAGCTGCTTCACACAGACATTGGACTGCAGCACAGCATCAGGTCTCATGTAAATCAGATGATGTCTTATCAGAGTGCCCTTATATGCTACTAGGGTTTTAGATTTACTTACTTGGAGGAAGTAGTAAATGTCCCTCGCACTACGCTGGTACTGCTTGTACCCTATTATGCTGACTAATGTCGGCGGAGTTCCACCTAAAAGGGGCATAGAAAATCAAGTTAGTTGGAGTTACATAGCAGTTGGCATGCATCTGGACAGAACCAAGTTGGTGTTCCTTATTGAAAGTCAAGTTGGTGTTCCTTATTGAAAGTTGCACATGCATACTAAAGAGAATGGTGCTTTCAATCATACTCCTGTAAACAGGACTTAAACTGAGATAACTGTGTATTGGAACTGTGGAAGTAGAAACGAAAATGGAACATTCTATTCTGTATAAATAACATAGTAGAAGGAATAGATATAGGAGTGACGCTGTAAATAAGTGCACTGGAGGTTTTGCCAAGTGTCAGATTTACAATTCACATAATCAAGATTTTGTGTATCTGTCTCCCCTGAGACATCATAAAAGTCTGTAGATATACGCCTAACGTTGTCTGGATAAACTCGTAAATACAAAGACTAAAAAAGAAATGGGGCCAAAACATACTAGCTGATATATTCAGTTACTCACCTAGAAGAAGTTTCTTAACTTCACTAGCATTTCTAGATGCCTCCAGTTGTTGTTCAAAAGAGCTTGCACTATCCTTTCTGTTGCCACTAGCCTGATTAGCACTCCCAGATGGGTGCTTATCAAATTGGCTTGGACCTGCATTTCCTTGATATCCATCCAACCTGGTGAAGAAAACACCATTGGGCCAGAGAGTCTGCAGAATGGAAATTTTATTATGTGCAAAAAAAAGGAGAAAAGAGTTCTACATTGGCTAAAACAACAACATCTAGCTTTGAAATTAGTTCTGGTTGGTCTTGATCCTGAAGAGAAATAATTCACTTTCAGAGTAAATTGATGGATTATTTGTATCAGACCATATACCTCAAAAGAATAATTTGCTGATATTTATGATATTCCTTTGATGATTCTATACACCAATAAACTACATTTGTATCATAGAGCGTGCAGAAGTAGTAAAAAGGTGCGTGTGTAGGGGTGTGAGTATGTATTGAGGTGGTGATGGGGCACACAACTTGCACATGGTTTGCTGCAGCAGGAACTTGCAGAGAATGTCAAGGCATCACAAGAAAATATTAGTTTAACTAGTGGTTGAATTATTAAAATTTAGATAAATTCAGTTAGAAAAGATAGTGTATCATTACATCTTGAATCCAGCGTATTCCTTGTACAATAACTTCATCTCTTCGGAGCCAATTGATCTGTCTTAAAATCCATTCATCAATTGCATCTTCCATGACTAACTGTAAAATCTGCTTTGATATCCAGAGTACTTGTTTTCTGCAGGTACATAAAATAAATCAAGTTTTGCCATATAAAATTGCAAGTGTTTTAGATTCAAATAATGGATAGTGAAAATACATCCACATTGCAAGGATGTTGGTTAATCTCTGCAAAATCTAAACCACCCCTGCATAAACAGTAGCATACTTACACTTACTCCCCTCCTAGAGTCAAGTCTGATAACAGATCATGCAAATTATCTTAATAAATATATTCACAAAATATATTTAGAACTGTCATGAATTCATGATATCTAGAACCTGGCCCAAGCAGGTCACTCAGCTCCGCTCAACTCTTGGTGTCTAGTACAGCTGATCATTCTGGGCCATAGCCATTCTGGAGTGCCCCTCCAGCAGTTAGGTTCTAATCCTGACCTCATACCGCCAATGCCTGGCTTTGAGTGGTGTCTACAGTCTGTCATTTAGTCCCCTCATTGCTATGTCGAAACAGTCCAGAACTAGCAGGTAAATCCTATGAAAGAACAAATTGGAGAAAGTTCATGAAAAAGGGGAGGCAAACCTTATCCAACCACGCCGCTTTAGTTGGAACACCTTGTCAACCAGATTCAACAAATGAACACTAACATTTGTTGGCGTCCACTGCGAAATAAAATAAAAAATTTAGGGCAAACGGAAAAAAAGAACTTCAGAACAGAAGTTCCCTGCATACTAGCAACATGTACCTCAGGAGGAATTCCTGCTGGATCTTCAAATGTATTTAGAGAAGACATGTTTGAAGAATCAGAATATGCCCTAGTAGGTTTCTCTATTTGTTGGCTTGCTTGTGCATCAAAACCAGAATATGCTTCATTGAGCTTGATATCATTTGAACCATACTGACTGTTGTTCAACTCATTGTCTGAGTGGCTAGCACTATTTACAGATGAGGAGGGATCTTCATAATTGCTATCACCATCAGAAAGACTATGAGCACCTGACAGGTTTCTATTATGCAGATTATGGTTATCTATCTCTTCCTGATTCCAAGATAGAGACATCTGATTCTCTGCCAAATGTGAAGAAGGTGCACTGGTAGGTGAGGTTCCAACAGCCCTTTTCAGACCATCTGAAACTCCTTTAAACTGTCGAACAATATCATCCATCGCATCATCAACATTAACTGTTGGTGCAAGGGCAAACAAGTATCGTGAGTGAGGAAAATATTTTATAGGCACGTTCATAATTGTCAGCATAAACAAAAGAGAAAGAACAAGGATCCTACCAGCCAAGGTTTTCATAACAGAAGTAGACTTTCCAGCAGAGTAATTCTACAAGGCGGAAAATAGAATAAAAGTTATAAATAACACCAGAAAGGTCTAAAAAAATGACATATTTATTCTTTTGTTTCTAGGTAGAAGGTTTATGGTGATTTGCTTGGCTTCAAACTACACACCTTTGAGGTTGCACTCAGAAAATCCCAAACTTCATGCTGCTCTGCTATATTAGGTATAGACAAGAGTTCCTATGAAACACAAGTGATTAGTGTCACCATATTAAAGGCAAAAGATGTAGACAAATGGTAAAGGGTCAAAGCATACTTGAAGATATTTGTCCAGCAAAATGCATCGCTGGTGCACAAGGTAATCATCAATACTAGATGAAAGAAAACTCTTTGGAGGCAAGTGCAAAGAGTAATTAGGAATCTCCTTCAGTTGTCGATGAAGACGTTCAAAGTTTCGGTATCTACAGTAAAAGTTGAAGTCCATGCCATATGTTATAACCATAGGTACTTTACTCTTTGAAAGCTATTAAAGTCTATGTGCTGGTAAAGGCATACCTTCTTTTCACAAACCAAGCCTTGTTCTCTGCATCAGTCACCGCAATAGAATAAACGGCAAAGGATTTTGAACTAAGTTTCTCAAAATATGCACCAACAACCTGCAAAAAATTTGAAACCAAAACTTGAGCAACATACACTTATGGAGAAGGATATAACTTCTCAGAAACATTTGCATATTGCATAAAAATATATAACACTTGCATATGCACCGAATTAAATGCTAAAATTATCTTTACATGTAACTTGGCGCACAACTATACTGCACAGAATCCCGCACATCTGTGCTGTCTGCTTGTGTTGGTTGGGCAGGTTATTGTGTCCTTATAGAGTACTGGCTCCCCCAAAGGCAGGCCAGCAGTTAGATATCAATCCGCCCAGAAGGCCAAAATAGTTGCCCTCCCTAGCACCTTGCTACTTTTTAAGTTGCTGCTGCCCAAACTGCCTCCAAAATTAAGCTTTATGAAATCCCCAAGTAAGTTTCCAGTGAGGATATCCCTTGGGTAAACTCGGCATAGTAAAAAAGAGGCTCATTCTCTAATAGATATTGTTCCTACTATTATAACTATTGATAACTGCATTCCACATGGAATTAGCTACTGTAGTCATTTGGTGAGTACTTATTACACAATTTTTTTTGAAGGAAACTTATTACAGAATACTGTTGGATGGGATAAATTTATTTATTCATAAAGCCTATTAATCAGACAACTATGAATAAAAAGGATATTTAAAAGAGTGCCAGTGATAGGATCAACAAACTTACCCGGCACCTTATCTTTGGAACATACAATACTACTTCACCATGTGAGACAGGAAAAGAACCTCTATCACCCTGATTTTTTCTTGCTATTTCACTGGAAACCATGGTTTGATTACTTTTGGCTAGATATCTTTTTTCAATATCAGGAGTACTATTAGACCTCTTTAACTGAGCTTTTGTGTTGTTGATAGTTTCACAGGGTTTTTCTGTGCTGCTGCAATCAACTTGACTCCCTTCATTTGGTTTTGCTTCATCCGTATCTTGCCATTCTTGCGAAACAAGTGGGTGACTACCTGTGACATAGGTAGATTGGGCATTCCTATTTGAACCTTGCATCAAATTGACCATGTATTTGTCATCAACAGATGTAATTCTCTCATTGAAATTAGGAGATAACTCTTTTCCTGCTGCTCCTGCACTTGGAATGTTATCTATGCCTGAACTTTTTCCCCTTGAATGCTCGAATTTCACCATTTTCTTTTGGTAATTTCTTCCAATTGCCCACATGTTCTCAAGATTCTCAGGAGCAAGAACCTGAGATCGCCTTTTAGTAGCTGCATCCAGTCCCACAGCCCAATCTGGCTGTCGAGACTGGATGGCGCTACCATGTTCAATCTTTGACATTTTTGACTTGTCACCATCATGAGTAACAAGTGACCTCATCCCAGAACTATTTGCTGGTACTAAGCCACTGGATTCTTGAGACAAATTCCTTGATTCCACTTGACAACCCTGTGAACTTCCTTTATGAGCTGAATGGGCATTTGTTACTGTAACTGAAGAATTAGAGTTATCTAAATTCCCTCCTCCACTGTTTGTATTTTTGTTGTTCATAAGGTAAATAATTAGCTCATTCATGTAGCTGAAAAAGAAAAGAAATTGGAATAGGTTTAGATACAGGAAAAGAAAACATTGAAACTGGTTAATTTCCCCAGTTGACCAACTGATAATACCGGTCTGAGATGCAACTCCACACTTTAAACAACTTCTTAAATGTACAGACTTTACATGCCGCTGCTTTTTATTATTATGAAAAAGAGATAAAAATAACTAGGTAGAACTTACGGATACATTCTATTGATTTCTTCATCTAAATATACCAGGATAAAAACTTCCAAAGTAACCGGAATTGTTTAGAAAGAAGAAACTTTAATTAGAACTCAAAAAAATAATATGAAGTGCCAGAGCTTACATAGGACTTGCAAAGTTCATCACTGGCTGCAGGACTAAGCAGGTCAGCAGTTCCCTGGAGAAACAGCGAACCAATGGACTCTGAGCATCTTGCGGTCTTAAAACTAGAGCCATTATACCCCCAACAATATCTTGAAAAACCTACAACTCATGTTGATTAATTGTTGCTGTATAAGTGGGTTACTCAAAGATAGAAATTATAGCCCTTACCTTATATTCATGCTCTGAAGATAACAATGCGGGATGGAGTTCCTGTGAAACTATTAGGTGCTGCTTCAGTCTCTCATCTCTTTCCTCAGATGACAATGTTCCCATAACATCAACACCAATTTGAGATTGATTTTTCCGGAAAATATCTAAATGGTGTCCTATCAAATCAGCCATATCCCTGAAAAAGAAAAGAGAAAAAGGCTCCAACTCTTAACCTTTAAAAGAGAAAATTATAAATGAGGAACGGTAGATAGTAGTTAGAATATCAATCCCAGTCACCTTGTTAGCAAGTCAACTAGATTCATTTCCTTCACCCTGCCTGATATTTCTCCAAGAGCATGAAGTATTAGACCACGTATCAACTCTGGGGCCTCTCTATCAGGAGTAATAGATGAATACCACAAGTCCACCACAAAGTCTCTCAAAATATTCTCAATGAAACTTTCAAAAGCAGCCTCAACAGAAGGTGAACCAACTTTCCTTCTCCATCTTGAAACCGGTGCCACAGTTGAAAGCCGATGATCATGAGCAGACAACTGTCGTTTTGACAATTGAGACAAATGTGTCTGCTTCTGAACAGGCTGGCCTCTCCAATGGAATTCCACTTTGAATGAAAGGTATCGGAGAAACGCAAGTATAAGAATTGACATGGGCACATTTGTCCACATTGATTTACTCGTATCTGTTTCAAACAAAGATGAAGAGGAATGTTAGCAAGATTGTTGATTTTAACTGAAGATAGTATGGATATCAAATCAACAGCTGCACAGCATAAAAAGTTTTCAATGCATCTTGGTTGTCAACATATAACATGAGAATGCATGAAGGAAAAGAAACAGGAAGCAAAGAAAGAGTTATTTTGAAAGCAAAAGAAGTGTTGCAGGTTTGCAGTTGAAGTCTTGCAAGACTTATTCATGGTTAGCTTCAAAATAAATTAATAAAATTGTGTGTGATTCAACATAGACCAATTTTTCTTTCCTTTTCCAATCCTGCAAATTGAACTTTGTTTATTTGAAGCTAGTTTTTCCACTAAAAATTGGGCCAGTGAATTGTTTTACAACAAAAGTGGCAGTATCTTTAGTCAACACCAAGAAGGCCTATAATTTTCCTAGAGCTAGTTCATCGAATTACTTCAATAGGTAGGATCCCTCGTCCTCAACTTACAATATACATCATCAAGGTCCAAAATGCCTAGTAAAGTTAGAAGTTGATCTCCAGTATGAAGTAACTCAGGTAGCCAACAAAGAAGGTATTACGTTACATTAAACGATGAAGCAGAACAAAAGGTGCTTTCTGTTTGTTCCCGTGCCCATTCACTACTTCCATCTAGGGCATTTCAAGATTATATCACGAAAACTTGCTAGAATTCAGCAGCATACATGAAACTCGAAGGACTTTTTTTTATTAGGCATTTTGTGCCAGGCCAACGAAACAAGTTCCCTTACAAATAAACTCCATAGACCAACTCCACCACCACTAGAAGCAGTAACTGGATCAAACGCAAGAAGAAATGAACAGCCCCAAAACTCCCACGTAACATCCATCAGGACTCCTTGCAATCGGATGCACCCATGAACCCCCAGATGGGATAATTACAAGCTCTAGCTACTCGATTACCAACTTGTCGCGGCCAACTTTGCAGCCAATCAAAATTTCCTCACCAATTCCCACATCTGCAAGCAGCAGTTAACAAAAAAATCCTAGGGGAAATGAATCTAATGCATGTTCCACCGATAAGTCATCAAACGACAGGGCACTTCATCCCAATTACGCAATCTAACCATGATGTCAAGGCGGTTGCGGGAAGCGGAAATTTCTAGGTCGCAAATGGAGGGAGAGGGAGAGAGAGAAGGGGCATGCTTACGCGTGAGGAAGTAGGAGATGGCGAAGACGCAGAGCGCCCACCACACGGTGCGCACCTTCGCCTCCTCGATCAGATCGTCCACGCCCATCATCGCCCTCCGCATCTCGTCCTTCCTTCCGCTCGCGTGCCTCGCGCGCGCCGGGGGGTGACGGGCGTCGTGGCGGCGGGTTCCCCGTGGAGGGGGGGGGGTTTCCTCCGCCCACTTCGGCGAATCCTAACCCTCTCGCCGTCCGAGCGCCGCCGTCGCCGGAGATGGAGGATGGCGGCGGCGCGACGAGTTCTCTGGGCGTTTTTATTTTTTTTTGTTCTCTTTTTATTTATTCTTCTTGGCTCTTTTGGGCTTTTGGCTTCCTCCCCATGAAACGGCTTCACCCAGATGAGACCAGAGTTTGTGTTCGGCACGGCACGTGGGGCCCACCTGCCAGTGTGTTCTCTCTGAAGGGTGGGCCCACATGTCAGCGTGGACCACGGCTTCGTTCGTGAAACGTCCGATCGGAAGGCGGAGTTGCGGGGGCTGACCGAGCGTGGGACCCACGTGTCAGTGGGCGCGAGACCAAAAGGAGGTCAATAACGATAATCATGGTGGCTGAGCACACGCTGACATGATGAATTAGGTGCTTAAGGATAAACAAAGATGGAGGACAGAGACAGCTGCACTTGCGATCTGGAATCACATGCATAAAATGCATCCATGGAGTTGTTGCACTCATGACTCATGCAACCATGCTCGCTCGTGTAGCTGTAGTTGTGTGCTCGTTTCATCTTTTCCGAAAGCTAGGTAGCAAAATCATCGTGAAAGAGACAATTCATTGTGAACAACTGTTGCTCAATTTTACGTATTGTTTGTTTCAGCTTAAGATTATTATAATATGGATTATTAGTAATAATTTAAAATAATTAGGATGGTGTTCTTTTCTTCTGAAGATAAAGATGAAAATTAATTTTTTTAATGCAAAACGAGGTGGTATTAATATATGATTGATTGAGTTTTAATTATTACAAACTTAAAAAATAGATTAATATGATATTTTAGAGCAACTTTTATATAGAAAGTTTTAGCACTTAACATACCGTTTAGCGGTTTGAAAATGTGCCACGAAAATATTAATCTTCGTCCAACTCTTTTTGAGAAAAGAAGGGGACCTAGGTAGATTATTATTATTATTATTATTATTATTATTATTATTATTATTATTATTATTATTATTATTATTATTATTATTATTATCTATAAGCTAAATTAGTATAATCTGATAATTTCCTCCAAGCATGTTTTTTTTTCAGATTATCAGGTGGCAAAAGACTCGCTACCCTTATTCTACTCTAATCCATTGAAACAAACAACTCATAACTTATTCTACTATAACTTATTATAAAGTTTATAGTAATCTGACTTAATAATCTAGATTACAATAATTTTAAATCGAGACAAACAGGTCCTTAAGAGTGTTTGTTTCTTTTTTCATTCTCACCATGAATATAAGAACAAGTATAATAAATCTACGTAAGCACGCTTTAATAGAATTCACAATAAATGTAAAATATCAGCATGCTCTAAAAAAATTAACGAAAGATTTATGCTAAAATCAATGAAAGAAAAAAAATAAAAGAGACCAATTAATCGCTAATTGTACTATCATCCCCAAAGCATGTCTTTCTCCCTCCAAACTTTGCCTAAAAGTACCAACCATGGAAATGATTTGCTCTTTTACTGATTCTGAGGTCAGTGGTGCCGACCTATGGTTGAGTTCCTTGGCTGCGCTTTAAGTTTGAGTTTAATGTTTTGGTGCCATAAGGTAATTTGATGAACCGGCAAGCTCGAATGACCATCCACGAGCTCATGATAGAGTAAATATTTATGCTTTTAAAAATAAAATTCAGCTTAAAAAAGTTCCATAATAATGTAAGCAATTTGATAATGATATACTGTAGTACATATTTGTGCAGCAAATAAGTTCTCTTAGGATGATGTAAAAAATTTTAAAAAAATGTACGGGCGATTTGATTATGATCGTAAATATTTATGCTTCAAAAAAAAGGATCAGTGAGAGTGAGAGGGTGAAAAAAATATTTATGCTTCAAAAATAGATCACTTAGAGAGGGTGCAAAAATTAAAAAAACTAATAGGGGCATTCCGAGAATTGAACTCGGGACCTCTCGCACCCTAAGCGAGAATCATACCACTAGACCAAATGCCCATCTTGCTCTTAATTTCCTCATAACCTATTTTATATCTGAAATGTGGCCCCTCGACCCCTTCCTCCCACTGCTCCAGGCCTCCAGCAGGAGTCTTCGCCGCCGGCGAGCAATTCCCCTCCACCGCCGCGCATTCCTCCCTCCCCTCTCTTTCCGCCATATCAATTGCTCCCTCGCCTTCGTCAAATAGCGTTACAGCAGACGATGCGCCATCCAGGGGAGCCTCAGCTTCTCTGAAGAAGAAAGGGACACTGAGGCGATGCGTTAATTGCGGCGGCTGCCTCTCAGGCCGAGACTTCAAGAACCCCCCATCTCAGTGCTGCGCCTTCCTCTCCTCCTGATGTGAATGATTTCCGATTTGCGTATGCTTTGCTTCGGTTCTTGATTAGCCGCTACGTCGCCGCATCTGCTGTCCTGCCAAGCGTGGTGAGCTCCTTTTCCAGGAAAACTTCTGCACCCATATATCCCCTTGTTGGCTCTAGGTTTCTGATTAGTAAATTCCATTAGGCAAAATGGATTTCTTCTGATGGGCAAGCGGTTGGTCAAGGTTGCAGATACTCTCATGGTGTCTCTTGTCACAGTCTCACTGATGACGCTGGTGATCCTCCATGATATCACATTTTTTCCTGAGGTATTAGCAGTTTCTGTGCTCTAAAAAAATGCAGATCCCTTTTAGAGAATTTTCTTATTATGTTCTTCTTGGGAACATTAATCCCTTGCTCTTCCATCCAACAGCAAACGGGACACTCGTGCAGCTTATTTTTCCTGACATTATTGTGGCATTAGTTCCAGCTTTCTTCTTTTCATTTGGTTGTGAGAGATCAGCTCTAAATAATCATTTCTAGTAGTGAAGCTTGAACTCGACGATCCGAGGCCCTGTTTAGTTCAGGGGTGAAAAGTTTGGCATGTCACATTGAAAATACGGACACACATTTAAAGTATTAAACGTAGTTTAATAACAAAACAAATTATGAATCCCGCCTGTAAACAGCGAGACAAATTTATTAAGCCTAATTAATCCATCATTAGCAAATATTTACTATAGCACCACATTGTCAAATCATGGCGCAATTAGGCTTAAAAGATTCATCTCGCAATTTACACGCAAACTGTGTAATTGGTTTTTTTATTTTGTTCATATTTTATACTTTATGTACGTATACAAACATTCGATGTGATGGGTGAAAAGTTTTTGTTTTGAAAACTAAACAGGGCCTGAATAGCAGAATGGGCAAGCTTCAAGTCAAGAATCCAAAGGAGCATGGATGATCATTGATTTGAGCCGGAGCATGATCGTTGGCAACTTGGCGTGACGAAGCTAGAGTGTGATGATGGGAGTTGTAATCTCTAATGGTCTCCTCGTGAACTGGTGTTAGAATGCTAATGTTTAGTGGTTTCCTTTAAACTGGCTTTTAGTATGCTGCTATGCTCGAATTAAAACTCTGTTTCACCTATTGAGCTTGTCAGTTTCTTATGTGCCAGTGCTTGAGGTGGCATTGCACCTGCATGTGTTGCGACGATCCGGAGGCACAGTTGGGAGTTCTTTTTTTCTAGTTAAATGGACAAAGTATTAATGTCTGCAATTTTAATTTATGAATTTGTTGTCACTATTGAGCAACCGTGCATTGCCAGCATGTGAAAGATAATGTCCAAGTCCTATGGGAAAAGGGCATTCGAAAGCATATTACACATGGTACTTCCAAACATCATGTTCTAGGCTGCCCATTCTATGTTTGCGGCCATGCTTGCGTACAAAAGGCATATTTATAACTGTTTAACTACAGAAACCAAGAATCTTCTTCTGAGGATAGAAACTAAATTATATTGACTGACATGCATCCGGAAAGCTTTGCAATCAACATGCCCAGAAAGTGTCAGCTATGGTAAATTGCTACAATATAGGATAGCAGAAATGACAGCATAATCTACTCATCTCCTCGACTCAGACAGTAGATGGCATACAGGTCCCTTAGAACAATAAGTCCAACAAGACAACAGAAACTCCACCAATTTCGCCTGACCAACCGGCATCAACCTCATCTGATAAGCTAATCATGTTTCTCATCGGCCCTTTGTACAGCACTGGGGAAATCATCCTTGTGAAGTAAAGCCAATGTCCTTGTAAAATATTCCTGTCGAGTCTCTGTTGGTGGGCTGGGTGGGAAGAAATATTCCTTTATGGTTTTTGGACCAATGTATCTCGCTGCAAATAGTACACAGTTGACAATAAGAGCTGCAATGGTCATATCCTACAACAAGAATATTATAATCACAAGTCATTACTCAAAAAAGATTAATTGCAAAGTACAGAAAGGTTTTTTTTTCCACATTAATAATACTTACACAGAGTGGTTTTGTTAGAACAGATTGTCTGTATCCTTGAGAGATTTGAGCCCACAACTCATAAGATAAGGTCATGAACTTTATCAGAGTTGCAGTGATTTTCAACTTGCGGATATGTGGAGCATCATTTTTTAAACCATTCTCTCCCTTCACCTACATATATGGCATAACAATGAAAATTAATTGCCTCTAGACTACTTGAGAGGGTAAGGATTTTCCACCAATCAGTCCTTTTAATATCCTCTACATTTCTACAAAATTCAGGGCATATGCATATGTCGGGAGCTCCTAGTGTATCACATATTTTGTTTGCTAATGTTTCTTTAATCCTTACGGAGACAAATGAGGCTAATGCTCAACAGTTGTAGCATATCCTAGAGATTTATGAAGGCTGTTGCAGCCAAATGATAAATAGAGATAAATCCTCAGTGATGTTCAGCAAAAATAAATCTACCGCAAGGCGCCAAGGAGTGATGAAGGGGCTTCAGTTAGAGGCTAGCAATGAGAAATACTTGGTTCTACCCATGCACATTAGGAGGTCTAAGAGCAAAACTCTTCAGTATATGAAAGTAAAAGGTGGAGCAATTAAAACAACTTACCCAGCGGTAATAGAGGGACTACACAATCTGCCCAACCTGAAAGAACATCCCAAAAATACCAATAGCTTTCGCTAGTGTGCTGTAGTTTTCGGGAAAAGGGAATTGGAACTGAATCTGGATGATAGCAGCTAATACAGCGATCATGAAAAATGAGAGCAAGCCAATGTTCTGCAAAAGACAATAATAAACAAATAAGTTGTTTAATTTATAACCCCCAGCCCACCCACACACACAGGAGGGAAATTAAACAGCCATACAACAACTTACATGTGTTTTTGCTTCAGAATGGGTGAGAATTTTGTTGCGCTCTTCAGAGAGAACATATTTCTTGTCACCAACCTTAAGCATAACATACACGAACACGGCTACCAGCTGCAGTGCTAGCCCACCGTATTCGATAAGAACCTTCCCCGTATTGTGGCGTGTGAGGCCAATGAATAGTATGTGAAACGCAATAACATCTGCTGTATAGAGAGCATCCAACCAAAGTGATAAAGGAGTAAAGCAGTCAAAGAAAATCTCTGCCCAGTCATCAATCAACGTAAAAACAAATCTGACATCAAAACAAAGAAAATTTGGTTAGACACAGTTATGAAGTAAAACCAATATTCATGGTCTAACTTGTAATTGTTAATAGACTTAAGAAAAAAATATGCGACAAGGAGTAATCAATAGTAGATACCATTCAAAGTACTTATCCAAGAATATAATCAGGAAAGAATTGAAATTCCAAGAATATGGTTACGGAAGAATTGAAATTTGGTCTTTTACTAGTTAGCAATTTGCTTAGTATTGCTTGGTGCCTGGAGACTGGAGCTGTGCGGTAGAAATTGTTGCTTGGTGAAAGTCATCTTTCTGGTGAGCATCTCTATTGCATGGACTACATGGACTTTGTTTAGGTAATTATCTGCACATACCTGTTTTCTTGCAGTTGGTTATTAAAGTAGTATATTTGAATTGATTTTGGAAATTCAATTTACAGAATCATCAGCAAAGAGGTGGAGACATCAGCATCTGTTGCTTGCCTATTGATGGTAGGTGAATTTCAGTTCCATTTCAGTAGCTTCATACATGAATGATGAAGTGGCCTCTCATACCAAGTTTTAGATAAATTGAAGTGTTTTCTTTTGTTAAAGGAAAGTTTGATTTTCAAAATCCATTTGTTAATTGAATTTTGAAGGATAAATTGAAGTTTAATTTGTTTAATTTTGAAAATGAAAGCATTGAACATGTTTTGTGGAGGCAGGAGACAAAAGTGTGCTTATCCTAATTTGGTTAGAGGATGGTAGAGAATAAGTTTGTGTAACACCACTGGGACAAGTTTAGTTTTACAGAGGATTGAATTTTGAATGGATTTAGAAATTATGCGATAGTTGTGTGAGCAGTGCCTATGTGTTAACCAATTCATTATCTAAAAAATGTGTTAACCAATTCTATTTGGATCGTTTTAATGTTGCTCTACAATTTGATGTTTTATTTTGTTTATTAATAATACATCTACGCCTTTTTGGTATCTGTGATTATTTTCACCAAAACTGAAACCTTCTCGCGACGCTCCTCCCTCCAGTTTATCTCAGTGATGATCTGTGGCTGTTGGCCGTGGAATTGGCCGGTTGGTGGTGGCGGTGTGTATTGGGATGGACGGATGGTGTTGGGCCCTGCATGAGGTGAATATCCTTACTGATGTGTTGCTGTAGATAGCCTAACAGCTAGCTCTTATATTGTCCCTTGTCTTCTGATAGGTCAGGACCAGAGATTCCCCACTTGGGTTGGGATAAAAGTTGAATGCACATTTCGATTTCAGATTTTTGCAGGGGAGCAGAGAGCTTTTTCACAGAGTCGGAACTTATTTCCCCCTAATTTTGAGGCAATGATCTCATATATGATATATCATATACCGTCCTTATACTGATGGTGATTTCTGATTTGCCCTGTCAAATAATTGGCAACCCAGGTTTGTCGAAATTCAATTTGATCGGCCATGTGGGCTATTGTTGATAGATTTATCTAAAAAATTGTTGATAGATTTTACTTCACTGCTCCGCTTGATCCTGTACTTTGTTGGGAAAGGTGGGTCTATTTTGGCCCTTCAGATTCTACTGCTTATTATATATTAGTAACTCTTTTCATGTATATCCTTGGTAGATCAGAGGTGGTGTATCAATACGAAGTTCTACGTAATTCCTAGATCAACATTCTTTTACAAGTCTCTGAATTTGAAGTTTGCTAGGAACAGTGGCAATTAGAAGGTAAGATCACTAATTTTTTTACCCAGTTCTGTTATCATCTTTTGCATATATGTGTTCTTTCCACTTTCTTCCGTAATCAATTTTCCATTGTTCAAAGTAGCTGCACCAAGCAAAACAATCTATTCTTGAACTCATGTCAAGGAGATCTCAAGGCCTCCTAGCAGATTTTTGAAAGAAGAACAAACAAAAAAAAACAGTAATGGTATTCTTTTATGCACCTCAAAGATCCTTGTTAATTCATTTTTTGAGCAAACTGCCAATTCGGACTGCTATCCAAATTCCAATTTCAAAAAGCTAAAGCTTGTCGAAATCAGTAATCCTGTAAAAAATTGAAAACTCAATTTTTCATTACTAAAAGCACCCATATGCATATGTATTTCATGCTGTCTTTCCATCCGTTTATGTAAGCAAAGGCAGCAACTACAATTGTCTCTACAGGAACAAGCGACAATTGGTGATTTCACTAATTCTAATATAGATCTAATAGATCTCACTCAAAAGGTTAGTACTGCTGCGAATCCACAATGCATTTTATTCGAGAATGATGGCGCTAGACTATTGTTGAGCAAAATTTGAAAATACAAGTTTTCTGAATGCTACTAGACAAAATGTAAGGGCTTGCACGGAATGTTTTAGTGATTTTTCTGTATAAAAGGTCAATTGTTGGTTATAACATTTACTGCAAGGTGTTTTACTGATTGGCTGCATCGTTTTACTGGAGGAGCTGTGCAGTAGAAATTGTTGCCTAATTTGCTGATTGGGCCAGGTTCGTGTGAAGGAAAGAAAGAGGAACTAGTAGGTATAGAGACAGCCGATGGCCCAAGGCCCAAATGCATAACCTTGCTGACGCGGTCGATCGTAGCGACGGCGACGGCGAGGGCCGGGACGAGGAGGAGTAGCAGTGGCCAGTGCGGCGCGAGGAGACGGAGATCAACCATGGCGGCGGCGGAGGGCTTTGGATTGACGAGGGAGCTAGCAAAAGGAGAAGGAGATCGATCGAGAGGGTTTTATTTGTGTCGCCTCTCCGGCTCTCACGTGAGGCAGAGGTCGGCCGGGGCGACGGCTTCTAGGGCACGCGACATCCGCTCCGCTCCGCTCCGTTCCGTCCGGGACAGGTGGCGGGGCGACCACTCGCTCCCGTTATGTCCAGACAGCAAAAACGTTCTCCACCCTGACTATGACAGTGCAGGACCCGGTCCGGCGCACGGACCCATGATATCTCCGGTGGTGTTGTTGGATGAGTTGTTGCACACACAAACACCAACTTCAGCTTTGGCCTCTTCCACCGTCTCGTCTCACGTAGTACTATGGTATACACATGCTTTGCAGTCGCCCACATACACCGTACGTAGCTGCACGCCCTGCCCAGCCCAACCCAACCCAACCCAACCCAGCCCAACCCGTGGATGGCCGGAGTATACCGACCTATCTAATTTCTCTAGAACCTTCCTACTCCCAACCGTGGTAACTATCGATCAAACGCTACGTACGGTGGTGATCGAATTCCACCGCTGCGCGCTAGCGCTCCAAACTCCAAAGTTGAGTTTATTTTCCCATCTCTCTCTCTCTCCCTCCCTTCCTACTACTTCTACCCCATCATCTCAAATAATACAGGTACGTACCCTAAAATCAAATTACCAGCAAATTCCCCTTTTCCAGCGTAAATATAACGTGCAATTCTAACAATATCAATACCAGCCGCTAGCTAGATATCCAGGTCCTTTTTATTAATTTCCAAGAGTTCTCCCATATACAACTCCCTCTATTTCAGGTTATAAAATATTTTGACTTTGGTCAAAGTCAAACTGCTTCAAGTTTCACCAAGTTTATAGAAAAAATATTAATATTTTCGATCAAGATAAATTTATTATAAAAAAATATTTAATTAAACTAATTTTGTAATATAAATATTACTATATTTGCCTTTAAACTTAGTTAAGCTTAAAGAAATTTAACTTTAACCAAAGTGAAAATATCTTACGACCTGAAACGGAGGGAGTATATATCTATTTCCATTCCAAATATGTACTAATGCGCGCATGTAAACTTTTAAATTTTGTTCCATAATTTCATCTAGTACCCACTATTATTACTCTCTCTTTTTTTCAGAACTGATATTTCGTGCATTATTTTATGTTGCTAAAATAAACAATATGCACTGCTCGTTATTTATTATTACCCACTTCAAGGGAAAATAACAATTAAAGGTAGTCCTACTTATTTCGAATACCGCCGTGTTTAGTTCCAAAATAATTCTTCAAACTTTTAATTTTTTCGTCACATCAAAATTTTCCTACACACAAACTTTTAATTTTTTCATCGCATCGTTCTAATTTCAACCATTACATCTCAATACGTCCGCGCAGAGAGAGAGAGAGGGGCAGACGCAGACCAGTATGCATGCCTTTGCGCGAAAAATGAAACGTACTGTTCATCTGACTATATACAATTAATTAAATGAGTATATGCTCCTTTTGTGCTAGCGAGCCTGTTTGTACAATAACCAGGTTGCGTGTGTACTAGTGCTTGGCAGATGTGATAGGGGCTGGCACGCGAGATGGAGCTCACAAAAAAGTACTCCTACTATAGCTGCAGGAAGCCAGGAACAACCCCAACCAATATTTTGATAGCAGTACTATTCCCCACGGTTTGTATAGTTCGCGAGAGAAAAATTTTAGTGTCACCTCGGATATTTGACCGGATGTTATAAGGGGTTTTTGAATACGAATAAAAAAAAGTAATTTCATAACTCGACTGAAAACCACGAGATGAATTTATTAAGCCTAATTAATCCATCATTAGTACATATGAGTTACTGAAACACTTATAGCTAATCATGGACTAATTAGACTCAAAAGATTCGTCTCGTGATTTCCCTCGGAACTGTACAATTAGTTTTTTCTTTTATCTATATTTAATGTGCCATGCATGTGTGTCCTAAGATTTGATGTGATGTTTTTGAGTAAATTTTTTTTAACTAAGGCTGTATTTAGATCTAAACTTCAGTCATTTTCCATCACATCAACCTGTGATACACACAACTTTTTCAGTCACATCATCTCCAATTTCAACCAAAATCCAAACTTTACGCTGAACTAAATACAGCTAACACCAGGCCTGATTTGAATTGAAGCCAACCTTTTGGCAATGCGCATACTAAAATTAATCAACAGCAATCCAAAAAATTCTTGACTATAGTATCACAATTTTGGATACATTTTGATAGCATGCAAACAAGATCAATACAAATTTATCCTATCAAATACCCCCTCCGTCCAAAAAAAAGATAAACTCTACA